GCAGCAGCAGCAGCAGCAGCAGCAGCAGCAGCAGCAGCAGCAGCAGCAGCAGCAGCGGCAGCAGCAGCTGCCCAGAGGGATGGACATCAAGAGGAAGCGGAGATCACTGGAGTGGCTCCATGCTGGCTTTGTGAGGCGTCTCCCTAAAGGAGACGAAGAGCTGCTGCAGCTGCTGCAGCGTGCTGCTGCAGCAGATGAGCCAAGGAGACTCCTGCTGCCTCTAGACAGAAAACAAGCAGCAAAAACGTCTCCTAGCAGCAACAGCAGCAGCAGCAGCAAGGACAGGGACAGCTCAGAGCAAGACACACAGCAGCATTTTTTCCTGTAGACAGCGCAACCAGCACCAGCAGCAACAACAACAACAGCAACAGCAGCAGCAACAGCATCAGCATCAGCAGCACATAGCCACAGCTGCTGAGATACCCCGTCTTTTCAGCATTTTGTTTTATCTCTGCAGCAGTTTGCTGCAGCTCTTTTTTTTGAAGTTTTTATCTGGACACTGCTGCTTTTGCTGCAGCAGCAGCAGCAGCAGCAGCAGCAGAAGCACATTGCATTTCTTTTTCGTTTCCTTCTTCCTATATTTTAAACTTTTAGCAACAAATACCTAAATGCGTTTTGAATAAACGCCCTCACAAACAAGCCTGAGGGTTTAGGGTTTAGGGTTTTAAGTTTAGGGTTTAGGATTTAGGGTTTAGGGTTTTAAGTTTAGGGTTTAGGATTTAGGGTTTAGGGTTTAGCGTTTGCCTCCGAGTTGTCATTCCCAATTATATATTCAACAGAAGCTGCAACTTAACAGCAGCTGTTGTTGCTGCAGTTAAGTTGCTGCAGCAGAAGCAGCAGCAGCAGCAGCAGCACGCAGCTGCATTAGAGGTAAAGGCGAGGAATGATGCATTCAAAGGCCTGAGCCTCAATTTGTTTAATTTGTTTGTTTTTAAAATGTGTGGAGTATAAAGCAGAAGAAGATCGTGTGGTGTATATACATATATATATACACCTGGTGGGGTGTATCTACAACTCATTGGGTGTATCTACACCTCATGGGGTGTATGTACACCTCATGGGGTGTATGTACACCTCATGAGGTGTATTTACTCCTCGTGGGGTGTATATACACCTCGTGGGGTGTATATACACCTCGTGGGGTGTATATACACCTCGTGGGGTGTATGTGCAACTCGTGGGGTGTATGTGCAACTCGTGGGGTGTATGTGCAACTCGTGGGGTGTATGTACGACATGTGGGGTGTATATACTACACCTCGTGGGGTGTATGTGCACCTTATTGGATTACGCAGCAGGCATTTTGAGCGTGTCTAAACAGATGAGATTTGCGCTGCTCTTGCTCCTCATTGTGGGGCTGTTGCTGTTGCTGCTGCTGCTGTTGCTGTTGCTGCTGTTGCTGCTGTTGCTGCTGCTGTTGCTGCTGTTGCTGCTGTTGCTGTTGCTGCTGCTGCTGTTGCTGCTGCTGCTCGCTTTTGTGCTGTTCTTTCTGCGGTTGTGGCTCCGGTGTCTTCTGCTGTCCTTGCTCCTGTGTCTCCTTCTTTTGCTGCTGCTGCTGCTTTTGCTGCTCCTGCTGCTTTTGCTGTTCCTGCTGCTGCTGCTTCTGCTGCTGCTGTTGCTGAGAGTCTTTTTCCTGTTGAGGTTTTGCTTCTGCTGCAGGTTGTTTCTCCTTATCAGCAGGTTGCTGCTGCTGCTGTTGCTGCTGCTGCTGCTGCGCAGAAGCATTCTTCTGTTCTTCCTTTTTCAGTGAAGCAGCTTTTTGCTGCTGCTCTTTGGGTTTTTGCTGCTGCTCCCCTGCAACAGCAGCAGGAGCAGCAGCAGCAGCAGCAGCAGTTGATGTGCGTTGCATATCTTTTTTTTCTTTTTGTTTTTGTGTTTGCTCTTCTGCTGCTGCTGTTCTCCCGCGAGACCTTCTTCTTATGCCGAGAGTGCTAGTGCTTTTTTGTCTCTCTGCATTGCTGTCTTGCTTTTTATCTTTTCCTTCTTTCTTTGCTGCTGCTGCTGCTGCTGCTGCTGTTGCAGCAGACTGATCCTTCTCATTAGACGTCTTCGCCGTCTCTTCCCCCTCTTGCTGCTGCTGCTGCTGCTGCTGCTGCTGGGTGTCTTGTGTTGGTTTAGAATAGCCGTTGTAGATATATTTGCCTGAGTTGGGGTCTCTCCCCACAGCATTTTCAAGTGTCTCCACAGCTTTTACTGCTGCTGCTGCTGCTGCAGCAGCAGCAGCATCAGCAGCAGCTGCAGCAGCAGCTGCAGCAGCAGGAGGCTGCATGCCTGGCAGCTGCTGCAGCACATTGAAGGAAGCATCATCAACCCCAAAGGCATCATATCCATTATATGAATAAGAGTAATGTTGTTTGTTTTGCTCGTAAAGTTTGTTGATTGTTTTTGTATTTTTACCCCAGACTTCAAAGCGAATAGTCTGAGTTAATAAATAATTTATAAAGGCTTCAGTTACAGGCTGCTGCTGCAGCAGCTCGCAGTAATCAAACTGCAGCAACCAGCTGCTGTCTCCTTGCTGCTGGCTATCTGCTGCACCAGTGAAGTGCGGCCGAGGAGACAAATAAGGGGTGAAGCAAACGGAGACACCTTCTGCTGCTTCAGCAGCAGCACCCCACAAACGCCCAACCTTTACTTGGTAGTCTACAGCAGCAGCAGCAGCAGCAGCAGCAACGCAGCAACTCACACAAGGGTTTACAGATTAGGGTTAGTCTAGGGTCTAGGGTTTAGGGTTTAGGGTGTAGCGGTTTTAAGGGGGCGGGGGATGGACTGGGGGTTTGGGTTGTGATGATTTAGGGTTTAGGGTTTTGGGTTTAGGGTTTACGTGGTGTGAATTTGACTCTAAGACTCAAAGTTTTATATTCACGGTTTAGGGTTTAGGGTTTATTAAGATCTAAGGTTGAGAGACTAGGCTTAGGGTTTAGGGTTTAGGGTTTAAGGAAGCAAAAAGAAGAAAACGAGACAAAAGGAGACAGTACAAAGAGACAACAAGGAGACAAAAGGAGACAGTAGAAGACAACAGAAGAAGCAAAAAGAAACAAACAAGTAAAGAAAAAGAAACGGAGACAAACGGAGACAGGTGAAAACACCAAGGAGACAAAAAGAGACAGACAAAAAGGAGACAGAAAGAGACAAACAAAAAGGAGACAGAAAGAGACAAACAAAAAGGAGACAAAAAGAAAGAAAAAGAATGAAAGAGACAGAAAGAGACAAAGAAGAGGCAAAGAAGACATAAAGAGACAAACAATAAAGATAAAGAAGACGTAAAGAGACAAACAATAAAGATAGAGATAAAGAAGAGATAAAGAGACAAACAATAAAGATAGAGATAAAGAAAAGATAAAGAGACAAAAAATAAAGATAGAGACAAAGAAGAAAGACAGAGTTTAAGAAGAAAGAAACAGGAAGAGATAAACAAGACATAAAGAGACAGAAAAAAGATTAGGAAGACATAAGGAGACAAAGAAAGAGATAAAAAAGACATAAGGAGACAAATAAAGAGACAAAGAAACAAACAAAGAAGACATAAAGAGACAGGAGTATAGAGAAGGAGATAAAGGAGACATAAAGAGACAAAGAAACAAACAAAGAAGAAGTAAAGACATACACATGTTGCTGCCTATCAGCTCTTGAGGCGTCTCCTTGATGTCTTCGTCTGCTAACTCTTTTCCTTCTGCTGTCACAGGGTAAACCCCAACCTCTATCTGAAGCAACAAAACCCTAAACCCTAAACCCTAAACCCTAAACCCTAAACCCTAAACACTTCAGCTCCTCCTCATGCCCAGGCCAGGGAGCCCCCAGGCCTAAACCCTCAGCTTTAAACCTTTATCTTCAAGCAAAATTTCTAAACCCTAAACCCTAAACCCTAAACCCTAAACCCAGTAACCTCTAACACCAAACCCTTTAAACCCTTACACCCTAAACCCTAAACCCTAAACCCCATGAAGAGCCTAAACCCTAAACCCTTAATCCCAAACCCTTAACCCTGTGAATACCCTAAACCCTAAACCCTAAACCCTAAACCCTAAACCCTAAACCCTTTTTTTGGACTTGCCTCTCCCACAGGTTTTCCTTCTTCATCGAAAACTGTCACTTTAGCTGCATTCTCTACCTGACAGGCTAAGGGTTTTAAATATAATTCGCAGCTGCCTAACAAACGCCGAGAAGGGAACGGATCCCAGTACGGATTCTCAGCCGGACGCAAGCCTGCACACACGCAAACCCTAAACCCTAAACCCTAAACCCTAATAAACCCTAATAAACCCAAATAAAAGCTAACGAGCCTTAATAGACCCTAATATAACCTTAATAAACCCTCATTAAACCGGATAAACCCTCATAAACCCTTAAAACCCTAATAAACCCTCATAACCCTAATAAACCCTAACAGATCCTCATAAACCCTAATAAACCCTAAAGCACCCGAATAAACCCTAATAAACCCCAAATGAATATATTAAATAAATTGTTCTCTCAATAATAATACTAATACTAATGCTAATAGCAATAATAATAAGAATAATAACAATAATAATAATAATAATAATAATAAAAGTGGATGGGGTAGAAGATTAAAAGAATTAAAGAGGCCTGACTAGGAGATGTTTGAACAAACAAGAAGTTTATTAATTTTTCTTACTTTGTACGAAGGCGTGTTTGTCTTCTGCGTCAACCCAATTATTAAATAAGTCTCTCATTATAAATATTCTGTCTTGTAGTGTTGCTGCCTGCCAGACATACACCTCAACTTGTTTAAAACAAACGGAGACGCCTAACGTTGTTCTCTTTCTATTTTGTCTCTCCTTACACTCCAGCAACAACTTTGGTTGCAACGAATAACAAAGCCCTAACTCCTCGGCTATTACATTCGCCTCCCGAATCAAAGGCAATACCTGCAGCAGCAACAGCAGCAGCAGCAGCAGCAGCAGCAGCAGCAGTCGGAGTAGTAGCAGCAGCAGCAGTCGGAGTAGTACCAGTCGGAGTAGTAGCCGTCGTAGGAGTGGTAGCGGCAGCAGCATGCAGAAACAGAAACAGAAACAGTAACAGCAGCAGCAGCAGCAGCAGCAGCAGCAGCAGTAGTAGTAGTAGTAGTAGTATGATTAGTAGTTATAGCGGCAGCAGCATGCAGCAACATGCAGCAGCAGCAGCAGCAGCAAGGGAAAGACGGACTGAAGAAGGGTACAGCAGCAGAGACACCAAAACGGAGACAGTAAAAGAGACGCATAAAAGGAGACAGACAGCAGCAAGAGCGGCAGCAGCAAAGACAGATAAAAAGAGACAGAGAGCAGCAAAGGATGCAGCAACAGAGGTGAATCTGCTGCAAAGGAGACAGAAGAAGCAAATGGAGACACCCAATACACTGCTTTCTTTTGTCTCTCGTCTCCTGACGCACTTGCGTCATTTGCTCATTAAGCAGCAATAAGTCTCCTTCTTCTTGTCTCCTTTTTAACTCTTCTATTTCAATGTCTCTCTTCTTCTCTTCAAGCTTTCTTTGCTCCTCTACAAACGCTTCCTTTGCTAACGCTAGCTGCCCTTCGTCAGCCTTCTGCTGCAGCTCCTGCAGCTTCGCCTCGTACTCCTAAAACGCAGCAGCAGCAGCAGCAGCAAGTGCAGCAGCAACAGCAGCAGCAAGTGCAGCAGCAAGTGCAGCAGTAGCAGCAGCAACAACAGCAGCAAGTGCAGCAACAGCAGCAGCACCTGCACCAACAGCAGCAGCACGTGCAGCAGCAGCAACAGCAGCAAGTGCAGCAGCAGCAGCAGCAAGTAGCAACAGCAGCAGCAAGCAGCAACAGCAGCAGCAAACAGCAACAGCAGCAGCAAGTGCAACAGCAGCAACAACAGCAGCAGCAACAGCAGCAGCACCTGCAGCAGCACCTGCAGCAGCAAGTGCAGCAGCAAGTGCAGCATATATTACATTACCTCCTTTTGTTTTTGTATGGCTAGCTGCGCCTCTTGAAGTTTTTGTTTGTACTGCGAGCGTCTGAGTGTCTCCTTTTCAATTTGCTGCTGCGTCTGTGCAAGCCCTTCGACTGTCTCCTGCTGCAGCAACGTAGCTTCTTGCAGGCAGCGTTCAAAGGTAAAGTGCTGTAAGAGGCTGCTCCTTGAATAGCCTCCTTCAGTCGGTAAGAATACAAGAAAAATATAATTCTGACCGATTAAAATTCTGTCTCCGCTGTTTAGAGTTATCTGCTGCCCTTTATCTGTCTCCTTTCCGTTTACAAAAGTGTTTGCTGCTCCGTCTTCAACCACTAATACTGCTGCTGCTGCTGTTGCTGCTGCTGCTTCCCCTTCCTGCTCCTGCTGCTGCTGCTGCTGCTGCAGCTGCAGGTAGCAGTGATTAACGCTTAAACCCGATCCAGAGAGACAGACATCAGGACAACTGCTTCCTTCTCTTCTACCCACTCTCAACTTTTCAGGGGCTGCCGGAAGCTTAAAAGATAAAGATGCAGAAAGAAGAGGGTCTTCATTCAGTAATGTTATATGCGCCACGCAGTTCCAGTCCGGAGCTATACACAAACTTTAAACCCTAAACCCTAAACCCTAAACCCTATACCCTAAATCCTTAATCCTAAGCTTTAAACGTTAAACCGTAAACCGCTGCTGCTGCCGGTCTTTTTTTTTCTTTCGTCGCTCAGGCGGCATTTTCTTTAGGTTTATGGTTTAGGGTTTAGGGTTTTAGGGTTTAGGGTTTAGGGTTTCGTGTTGAGGTATGGGGTTTTGTTTTAGGATATAGAACTGAGGGTTTAGGGTTTAGTGTAGTGGGTTGGTGCTTAGGGTTTATAATTCAGCATTTCCTATTCCTTATTCTTTCTCTCGTCCTTGGGGTTTCGTGCTTTGGAGTTAGGGTTTAGGGTTTAGGGTTTAGGGTTTAGGGTTTAGGGTTTAGGGTTTAGGGTTTAGCGCCTCCCATTACTTGTTTCATGTTCCGTGTTTCGGCTTAGGATTTAGGCTTTAGGCTTCCGCGTTTCGTGTTTCGCTTTAGGGTTAGGGCTTAGGGTTTAGGGTTTAGGGTTTAGGGTTTAGGGTTTAGGGTTTAGGGTTTAGGGTTTGTGGGCTAACCTGCGAATTCAGTGTGCATTTGTGCTTTTGCTTTTTCTAATTTTTCTTCCCAAGACCGCTGCAAGTCTTTCATTGCCTCCTCCATTACATTTATTTCTTCTTCATGAGCTCGTTGCAGCGCTTCTGTCTCTTCAAGAGACAAACCCCCTCGAGGGCTGTCTCCTAAACCCTTTCCTGCATCCAGCAGCAGCAGCAATAGCAGCAGCAGCAGCAACAGCAGCAGCAGCAGACGCAGCAGCAGCAGCAGACGCAATGGAGATGTTTTTCTTTTGCTGTTTCTGTCTCCTTCCTAGACATTCACTGCTACTGTCTCCTTCTCTCTCTTTTGCTGTCTCTGTCTGTCTCTCTCTCAATCTCTATCTGTCTCCTTCTATTTGCTTGTTAGGCTGATGGTGTTGCTGCTTCACCCTAAACCCTAAACCCTAAACCCTAGTCACTAAACCCAAACCCTAAACCATAAACCCTAGACCCTAAACCCTAAACCCTAGATCGTAAACCCTAAACCCTAGGCCGTAGATATACCTTCAAGGAGGGCTTTGAGTTTCGCATTTTCTTCTTTGAGTTGTCTGATAAGTTTGTCTGTGGGGTCTTCATTAACAACTGCATTGTTCTTAATTTTCTTTGCTCTTTCTGCGTAACGTAGAGTGCTGAGAGTCTCTTCATAATTATCATTAGAAGGAGACAGTGCACATATCATGATGGTCTTGCTGCTGCCCCCTAGAGCATTTTGCAGCAGTCTTGTAAGTTTGCTGTCTCTATAAGGAATAACTGCTGCTGCTGCAGCACCACCAGCAGCAGCAGCAGCAGCACCTCCTGCTGCAGCAGCAGCAGCAGCTTTATTCTCTCTTTCAGCAAGAGCATTAATAACGTTCCCTAGAGCAGAAAGAGACTTATTAATTGCACAACCTTCTTTTAATCTGTCTCCTCCTGCGCCTGTCTTTGATATCTTTTCAGACCCTGCTAAATCTACTAAATGAATAACACTCTGCTTCCTTCCTTGCTGCCCTTCAAAAGAAGTTAGCTGAATAAGCTCTATCGATATCACCGTATGAGCCTGATAAATAAATAAATAAATAAATAAATAAATAAATAAATAAATAAATAAATAAATAAATTATTTGTTTATTAATATAAATAAATAAATAAATAAATAAATTATTTGTTAATTAATTAATTTATTAATTTGTTTGTTTGTTTGTTTGGTTGTTTATTAGGAAGGGGTTTTTGTTCTCCCTCAAACAAAGTTTATTGATATTACTAAATATAAATAAATAAATAAATAAATAAATAAATAGATTAATTAATTAGTTAATTAGAGCTACAATAAATAAATAAATAAACATCTATAAAACAAACAAATACAAAAAATATTTAAACAGCATCCGCTTACCCTGCTGCTGGTTGCGTTCATCAGAGTGGCTCCCACTGCACAACCAAACCACCAACGAGGGTTTAGGGTTTAGGGTTTAGGGTTTAGGGTTTAGGGTCTAGGGTTTAGGGTTTTAGTAGAAGTAGAGGTTAGCCGCCGCCGCTTAGGGTTTTCAATTTGCAGTAAAAATCGCAAGAAGGACCCTGGAAACTTCTTTTCAAACCCTAAACCCTAAACCCTAAACCCTAAACCCTAAACCCTAAACCCTGTCGGACCTGTTCTGTTTGCAGTGCCTTTGTCTGTTACTGCTTGAATTTCATCATATGATGATACTGCAACCTTTGATAAACCCTCCACAAATACTCCCAGTTGTTTAGACTCTCTACAGCACAAATCAACCCTTCCGAGGGTTTAGGGTTTAGGGTTTAGGGTTTAGGGGTTGCTGAGGAGTCAGCTTGTGTCCCTAACATGCTCGAGGGTTTAGCGTTTAGGGTTTGGCTTTTGTTTAAGGGTTTAGGGTTTTCGTTCTGCTTGCGCATTTAGGCCTTGTGGTTAACTTGAGGGATGAGCAGGATTAGGGTTTAGGGTTTAGGGTTTACAATACCTGGTGGAGAGCCCTGCTTTACGTCTTTTTGTGGGTTTAATGAGTGGAGTTAGGGTTTAGGGTTTAGGGTTTAGGGTTTAGGGTTTACAATACGCGGAGCCCTGCTTTAGTTCTTTCTGTGGGTTTAATGAGCAGAATTAGGGTTTAGGGTTTAGGGTTTAGGGTTTAGGGTTTACAATACCTGATGGAGAGGCCTGCTTTAGGTCTTTCAGTGGGTTTGATGAGTAGATCTTGAACAAGCTCATTATACACCTCAAGCATGCTAACAGAGAGATGAAAAGACTTATCTTTTTCTGTATTATCTTTTATTTTTTTAAATATGTTCTCACAGACTAAGGGTACAATGCCTTTATTAGCACCATAGCCAACCATTGAGTAACTCTTTCCTGCGCCGGTCTGTCCGTACGCAAATAAACAAGTATGAAAGCCTTCTAATGCATTAATTAAGACTTCTTCACCTAGCTGCCTATACACCAGAGATTGATCTGCATAATTCGAACCTTCTTCAGGATATTTATACCCGTCCTCTCTTTCTTTATAACCATCATGAGACCAGTAAGAATAATCAAAGCAGAATATACGAGGAGGCTTGCTGTTGTTGCTGCTGCTGCTGCTGCTGCTGCTGCTGCTGTCTTCTATATCTAGAAGATGCGTTTCTTTGCCTCGCATAGAAATACAGCAAACTGAGCCTATGTCTTCTTCGCGTTGATTGAAAGGGCGAACCCTTACTGCAACCTTTACAGCACTCATTGTCTCCTTTCTTACTGTCTCCTTTCTTGTTGTCTCCTTTCTTTTGTTTGTTTTATTTATTTGTTTTATTTGTTCTGTTTGATTGTTTACTTATTTGTTTGCTTGGTGCGTTGGTTGTCTTTGTTTTATTTACTGTTTGTTTATTGTTTAGGGTTTATTGTTTACACTTTAAGCAGCAATTGCTGCTGCTTCTGATTCTGCTGCTGCTGCTGCTGCTGCTGCAGTTATTTCTTCTGCTCCTGTTAGTGCTGCTGCTTACGCCGCTGCTGTGCTAAACCCTAAACCCTAAACCCTAATCCCTAATAATATCCAGCTACGTATGCGGCACAGTTTGCAGTTTGCTGGGGCTAATAAACAGCATAAAGAATTATTATTTGTTTTGTTTTGTTTAGTTAATTTTATGTTTGTCTGTTTCTTATGGTTTCTACTCTTTATATCTCTATCTCTGTTTTTTAATATTTTAAGCTAAAAGGAGAAGGGGCTTCTCTATACTATCCTTTTACTTTAAAGGTTTAGAAGAAGCAAAGCAAATGCAAAAAGAAGCCGAGAGCAGCGAGCAGTATTAAACCCTAAACCCTAAACCCTAAACCCTAAACCCTCGTGTAATGAAACAAACGCCTGCGCACCCGCAGCAGCAGCCCCAAGAGGCAGCGCTGTAATTCGATTGAATTATATTTGATATAAATAAATATTTAATAGTATATTTTCAGGCACTTCAAGAAACCCTAAACCCTAAACCCTAAACCCTAAACCCTAAACCCTAAACCCTCGAGTCCCTTTTGGGGCTAACCACCGCATGCGCTGTACAGAAGAGAGAAACTAAGGGGCTGTCTTCTGAATGCATTTATTTTAATATAAATGCATTAATTAAATTAATATAAATTTATTTTATTTTTGTTTTATTTCTTCTTTTTATACAATCATCACCTCTATTTGCTGCTGCAGTCGGCAGCGCAGCTCAGCTGCTGCTGCTGCTTTTTTTCTGTTTTTTTTGTCTTTGTTTGTTTGATATTTACTCTAAACAAAACATTTTACCCTTAACTCGCAAATTACAACAAATTAAAATACAAATAATAGCAAAAAGAGCTCTTGGTGCTGCTGCTGCTGCTGCTGCTGCTGCTGCTGCTGCTGCTGCTCAAGGGGGGCCCCCGACTCTGCGGCAGCGAGCAGAGCGAAGCAAGTAAAAATAAATAAAATAAAAATAAACAGCTAAATAAACAAACAACAACAAAAACAAAATTTAAAAAGATATAAAAAATAAAAACAGTTTCCTCACGTTATCATCATGCCGCAGCCCTGGTGCCTCTGGCTAAAGCGTTATTTAGGGTTTAGGGTTTAGGGTTTAGGGTTTGCGGTGAGCTCCGATGCAGCTCGAACCCTCTCAAGGGTGGAGCAGCTCTGCAGGCCATGCGGCGCTGCAGCAGCTGACGCAGCAGCAGCCTTTCTTTTATCTGCTTGCTGCTGCGCGCAACCGGAAGGAAAGCAAGCGCCGCACAGGACAAGGCACGCAAAACCCTTAGGGTTTAGGGTTTAGGGTTTAGGGTTTAGGGTTTAGGGTTTGCAGGACCTGTTGATGAATTGCTGTTGTTCCTGCTCCTGCTGCTGCTGCTGGGGGGTTGCAGGAGCCCTGCTCAGTTCTTGCTGCTGTTGCTGTTGCTGTTGCTGCAGGTCGTTTGCTGCTGTGCTCTCTCTGGTCTTTGGGGGTTCCCCTGTCTGTTGCTGCTGCGGCTGTGGGGCCCTTAGAGCGCCTCCGCATCCTGCAGCAAACAGAAGGCGTGCTACAGCAGCAGCGGCAGCAGCAGCAGCAGCAGCAGCAACGAGCTGTACGGGGGATTAGAGGCCAGTGGGTTGGGGCTGGCTGTGGGGCTGCAGGTTGTCTCGTTGCATGCGGCGTCAGTCTTGCAGTCAGTCAAGCCCTCAGGTGTGTTGCTGCTGCTGTTGCTGCTGCTGTTGCTGCTGCTGCTGTTGCTGCGTGCTGCTGCTGTTGCATGCTGCTGCTGTTCCCTCGCTCCTGTTCCTGCTGCTGTTGTTGCTGTTATTGATGCTGCTACTGATATTCTTGTTACTGCTGTCCTTGCTGCTGCTGTTGCTGCTGTTAGATGCTGATGCCGTCTCTAGAATAGAGACAGCACAGCGCTGCAGCAGAAGAAGGAAGCTGCAGGCATATGTAGAATTTAGCCTCTAGGTTTTAGGGTTTAGGGTTTAGGGTTTAGGGTTTAGGGTTTGGGGCTGGGTGTGTATCAGGGACCCTGCAGCTGGCAACGGCAGCAAACTGCACGCGGTGAGGGTTTAGCGTTTAGGGTTAAGGGTTTAGGGTTTAGGGTTTGGGGTTAAGGGTTTAGGGTATAGAGTTTAGGTAGTAGGCTGAGGGATTAGGGTCTACGGCTATAGGTTATTAAGGGTGGAGAGTCTAGAGTTAAGGGTTTTGGCTTAGGGTTTAGGGTTTAGGGTTTAGGGTTCAGGGCTAAGGGTTAAGGGTTATTAAGGGTTAATAAGGGTTATTAAGGGCTAATAAGGGTTATTAAGGGTCTAGGGTTTAGGGTTTAGGGTTTAGGGTTTGGTGTGTGCAGGCTGGTTGTTTGTCTCTGTGTACTTTCGCTTCTTTTTTTTGCTCGCATCCATTTGATGTAATTCGCACAATTTTATCTGCAGGTATTCTTCTGTCTCTAATTAATTAAAACTGTCTCCTTTGTTGTCTTTATCTGTCTCATTTTGTCTTTATCTGTCTCCTTTTGTCTTTATCTGTCTCCTTTGTTGTCTTTATCTGTCTCCTTTTGTCTTTCTCTGACTCCTTTGTTGTCTTTATCGGTCTCCTTTTGTCTTTATCTGTCTCCTTTTGTCTTTATCTGTCTCCTTTTGTCTTTATCTGTCTGTTTTGTCTTTATCTGTCTCCTTCTATCTGTCTTGTTTTTATTTGTCTCCTTTTGTTTGTTTGTTTGTTTATTTGTCTCCTTTTGTTTATTTGTTTATTTATTTGTCTCCTTTTGTTTATTTGTTTATTTGTTTGTCTCCTTTTGTTTATTTGTTC